TTATCACAAACTTACTGATTTTGTAGGCATATTTCATGTACACAAATGTAAATAATCCAAAACGTCCCCCAACTTCAGATGTTTGTTTTACAAATTCAAAGAGTAGATTACTTAAATTTTTTTGAGAGATTTTTCAAGAATAATGTATTTAGATTTTTGTATTTTTTTTATATTAAAGACCCTGTGTATTGTTCTTTTGTATAATTGTTGTTTGTAAGAGTCGTATAATAGTTTGTAAGGTCTGAAAATTTGTGTGTTTGCAAAATATTTCTTGAAAAAACATGTTCTCGTTCTCCCCAAGTTTATACTATCCTGTGTTCTTGTCAAGAACATACTTGGCGAGGACACAGGTCCGTACTCGAGTTCTAGTGAATTGAGAAATGGCCTTTGTGTCATTGTTGTTGTGTTTTTGTGTTGCTCTCTATTGTCCCTTGTGCCAGTCTCCTTTCCCCTATCTCCTGTTTGACACCCAGTTCAATAACTATATATATAAATATCCATATATATAAAATTAGTGTTGCAACGATACCGATACCAGTATCGGGTGCACTAAAATGATGGAATCGGCGAGTACCAACAAATAGAGAACCGATACCATTTTTAGAACCATACGTTTATTCAACTATTGTCACCCATTCCAGGTAGGCAATAAAAAGTTCTACTGGATTCACTTTTTATTAGTCTTTTTCCTGCTTCACAAAGGTAGGCAGCAGCTTGAGGAAGCCATGATGGCAATTATTTTACATCCAAGTAGTGTGCAGTTCTTCAAATATACACACACACATCAATTTTAAACAGATGGTATCGATATCGCCCAATACTACACAGCCAGGTATCAGGTTCAAAAAAACGCAATGGCACAACACTAATATTAATACCCATGTAAACACCCTGTGCAATAACCTTGTATAATGATCCTTTATATATATATATATATATATATATATATATATATATATATATATATATATATATATATATATATATATATATATATATATATATATATATATATATATATATATATATATATATACACTCACCGGCCACTTTATTAGGTACACCTGTCCAACTGCTCGTTAACACTTAATTTCTAAGCAGCCAATCACATGGCAGCAACTCAGTGCATTTAGGCATGTAGACATGGTCAAGACAATCTCCTGCAGTTCAAACCGAGCATCAGTATGGGGAAGAAAGGTGATTTGAGTGACTTTGAACGTGGCATGATTGTTGGTGCCAGAAGGGCTGGTCTGAGTATTTCAGAAACTGCTGATCTACTGGGATTTTCATGCACAACCATCTCTAGGGTTTACAGAGAATGGTCCGAAAAAGAAAAAAACATCCAGTGAGCGGCAGTTCTGTGGGCGGAAATGCCTTGTTGATGCCAGAGGTCAGAGGAGAATGCCCAGACTGGTTCGAGCTGATAGAAGGGCAACAGTGACTCAAATAACCACCCGTTACAACCAAGGTGGGCAGAAGAGCATCTCTGAACACACAGTACATCGAACTTTGAGGCAGATGGGCTACAGCAGCAGAAGACCACACCGGGTGCCACTCCTTTCAGCTAAGAACAGGAAACTGAGGCTACAATTTGCACAAGCTCATTGAAATTGGACAATAGAAGGTTGGAAAAACGTTGCCTGGTCTGATGAGTCTCGATTTCTGCTGCGACATTCGGATGGTAGGGTCAGAATTTGGCGTCTACAACATGAAAGCATGGACCCATCCTGCCTTGTATCAACGGTTCAGGCTGGTGGTGGTGGTGTCATGGTGTGGGGAATATTTTCTTGGCACTCTTTGGGCCCCTTGGTACCAATTGAGCATCATTGCAATGCCACAGCCTACCTGAGTATTGTTGCTGACCATGTCCATCCCTTTATGACCACAATGTACCCAACTTCTGATGGCTACTTTCAGCAGAATAATGAGCCATGTCATAAAGCTGGAATCAACTCAGACTGGTTTCTTGAACATGACAATGAGTTCACTGTACTCAAATGGCCTCCACAGTCACCAGATCTAAATCCAATAGAGCATCTTTGGGATGTGGTGGAACGGGAGATTCGCATCATGGATGTGCAGCCGACAAATCTGCGGCAACTGTGTGATGCCATCATGTCAGTATGGACCAAACTCCCTGAGGAATGCTTCCAGCACCTGGTTGAATCTATGCCACGAAGAATTGAGGCAGTTCTGAAGGCAAAAGGGGGTCCAACCCGTTACTAGCATGGGGTACCTAATAAAGTGGCCGGCGAGTGTATATATATATATATATATATATATATATATATATATATATATATATATATATATATATATATATATATATATATATATATATAATTTTTTTTTTTTTTAAGCTGTCATTTCTGGACACACTGTATATACTTTATATAACCCCTGCACCTCTTTCTTCCTGTGGAACATTCTTCTTCTCTAACTGTAGAGAGCAACAAGTAAATTGTTTTCACTGTGAGATCAATAAAGTCAATTAATCAATAAATAAATCAATCAGTCAATTTGAGATGCTTCCATTCACACCTGCTCCTTGTCAGCTGATTATCCCTGTCTTTGTTCAGTCTCTCATTTATATTTCTCTTCTGCAGTTTCTCATTTCTGGTTTCTCGTAGTTATTTTGGTCATCATGTGTGTTTTCCCCTGGCATGTCCTAATTTTTGGTTTTCTGCATTTTGTTCTTGGATTTAGCTTCTCCTTTTTTGCTTCTTCATTAAATCAGCAAAAAACTCACCTCTGCCTCCTTCTACTCTGCATTTGGGGCCACAACCACATCCACATTCTTTGACAAATATTGAGTTTTTTTTTTATTCTTACAATGAAGCTTCTTTGACAGCTTGATAAAATAAATGCTACAAAATATTAAAAAAGCAAGAAATCCAAAGGTGAGCAAAATCCTTTTACACATTTCTGTTCTGATTGGTTTGTTAAAGAGTCTAATACGGAGGCTAAATAAACAGAAGAATGCAGGACAAGCAGGTAGTGAAGAACATGCAGAGTAACAGGAAGGTGTAAGGGAGGAACACAGAGCTTTAGTCGAAGAATCCAGTATAAATAACGACTACTAATGATGAACAAGGGGAGAATGACCTTGAAGAAGGTCAGTAAGTTAGAAGATAAGATAGAGGAAGCACACAGAGACAGTGGAAGACAGACTATGACTAAATTAATTGTAGAGAAATAATTCTAAATGTTGAAAACAGTAAAATGTAAGAAGCAGAACCTAAAAGAAAGAAAATATTATGACAGGAACTTTAGGAAATGATACAGCACAATTGAAGTCCAGACCTGAAACACAAAAAAACGACAATTGTTGTAAGAGTATTTGCTTACAACAGGATGTGTTTATGTCTTAAAGATGTTCTCTAGTTTGCACCGATAGCGAATATAAAAGAAGGGGGCTTAGTGATGCAACATAACATGTCTGTTCATTTCGTAATGTTGAGATCATAAGATATTGTAGACCACTTCCATTTCTACTGATACTGTTAGATCAAGATGTGGTAAGGGCTGTATGCAATTTTCCTAGAATCACATTAGGTTAAAAAGGCCCTCTTCCCTTAGAGGGTATAGCTTGAAGGTGTCACAGTGGGGGTGGTTTGACAGGACCCAAATGCAGACACAAAAGCTTAAGGTTGTTACTTGAAGGTTTAATGAACCAAAAGCTCAACAAAAGCAAAACTCCAAAAGCATAAATCCACAAAAATCCAAAAATGCTGAAAACCAGGAATACTCACAACAAGAAGGGGACAAGGTAATGATGACAAACCAGCAAAGAGTGACTGAACAGGAGGAGAATTAGGCCCTGTCCACACGAAGACAAAACGAACATGATACGCTAATATTTTCTAGAACGTTTGTCGTAAAGACGGAGACGTAAAATAAATGTGATCGTCCACACGAATGCATGAAAACGCTGCAAAATGTATGCCAGGCCTGTAAGTGGCGCTGTGGTGCCAAAGCAAAAATAGGCGACGAAATGTTGGGCATGCGCACTAATATTTATACATGGTTGCCCTGCGGGTCCATTTTCGTGGTTCAGTCAAATTCAGGTGCTGAACTATGTCGTTGATATTGCTCTGTTCTTCCTGGAGATATTCCAGAAGAAGAAGATTCTGTTGTAAGCCCGACCGCAGGGTGAGTAGCATTAGCAGCAACCATTCAACACAGTACGGCGCCATTGTTGTTGTGATACTGTGTCGCGCATGCGTGTTTAGAGGAGACGCTATGACGCATGCGTGTAAGAAAAAAAATGCGGTTAGAGCTTAAAGATGGAAACGCGAAAACGGCGTTTCAAAATCTTCCCACTCTGAAGGCTTAATAAAAAAAAGTTTGTTTACAGACCCCCGAAACGCCGGCTTCGTATGGATGAGAGGCTGGTTTGGTGAAAAATTTGTGTGTTTAGGCCAGGGTTCGGCTTCGTGTGGACAGGGCCTTAATGGTAGAGAGAAACAAAGACCAGGCTAATTAGCAGATTGGGAGCAGGTGTGAACAGAGGCAAGAAGGGAGCTATGGAAAAGGAGACTGACACAAGAGGACAAACAAGAGATATCTAAGAACTAAAATATACTAAAAAATAACTAGACCGCAAGAATGAAAAATAAGACCAATGTAACTGAGAGATAAAACTTTAACAAAACCAAAACCATGACAGAATGTCCAAATGAATGGAAGTTGTTCTATAATCCTGCAATGAAACATTCAGTCCGAAATAACTAAAAGTGTTAAATCAACGCTTTGAAAAAGTTATTCTTACAAATATCATTTGGGAATCCAAAAATGATCTATGTTCTGTTGTCATAGGGAAAACTTATAGTTAGGCTAAACTAATATAATTAAAGGACCTACCTTATGTTTTGCAGTATACAGCTTATTTGTAATCATAACATAAGATCAGGAGTATCGGCTTCCATGATGCAGCCCTGGGTTTCCTGTTTTCATTCTGGGTCCTATAAAAGCAGCTCTCTGACTAAAGATACTGTATACACTGAGTGGTTGCATTTTTATTTAGTTCTCTGCTGCCTCTTCATCATGACTCTTAGAAGCATCATGGTTTTCATCATCCCATTTTTCATCATAGTTGGGGTACTGAGCCCAGCTGACTCTGCTGGTAAGTTTGCACCATCAGATTTAAATGTACAATTCAGACTGAAATACAGACCACATGCTTTGTGTGTGACCTTTTGATCTGTAGGTATTTGCTCCAGGCAACACTGCTGTAAAAGATATGATGATATAGTGGTCAATATCCGTCACATACGAGCCTACAAGGAGCAAAGTAAACAGGGAGACTGCATCAAAGCCATCATGTAAGAATCTACTCCATTTACCCTTACACTGTGTGACTGTATTCATTTTCTGATAAATATAGCTTTAGATGACATGACATGACTACCATCAATGAAAACCATGGTTTCATTCTAAAATAAAAACAAATTAATAACTAAATAAACAACTAGTAAATAACAAATAGTTTTAGGAAATTCAGCTTCTAGTCTGTTCCCTTAAATTCCTTTTTTTAATTAGTTACTGTCACTAATCGATTGTTCATAACTTTGTTTATAAAATTGTTTTTGTTAAGGTAATGGATTATGCATGTATAATTAAATCAGCAGTGTCTCATGTTTGTCTTGAAATGTGTCTATCATAGTTTCTACACCACCAGTAACCACAAAGTCTGTGCAAATCCAGAGGATGAGTGGGTGAAGGACACTCTTAAAAGGCTGAAGTAAAATAATTCTTTTTTGTTTGTAGCATCCTGTATCAGTTTAGCTCCAGAGTACCTAAATGCGCTTGCATAATTAGTTTAATCTTAGGAAAACTGTTGCATATATAAATGATAAATATTCATTTTTGTTTTGTTTTTTGTTTTTCTTTTTACCTCAAAACAGACCGCCATTGGAAAAGAAGGAAAAAAACTGAGAAAACCTGAAAACTTTTCCACGCATGGAGAAAGAGGATCTTTCAACATGACAAAGTAAACATTTGCAGCAATGGAATTAAGATATTTTAATCTTCTGTAATCAAATCTTTGAGAATAATCTCTCATTTAAAGGCATTGGTCAATTTTTGTTATAGTGAAGTAAAACATTAACAATATTTTTTTCATCTACTCAATTCACCAAGTGGAATGAATTATACAAATTAATTAAACACAGACCAATGTTTAAACTCACTGACTACTTTTCATTATTATCTATTTCTGTTCTGAGGTTAATAAAATATTTTTAAAAATAAAATAAGACAAATACTAAAAAACATGCTGGTCTTCTAAAAACTGTGTTAAAATGTTCACGAAAAGCTTATCATGGCAAAAGATTTTTTTCGAAGTGTATTGTTCATTCTGAGGATGAGCCTGATCCTAACTGTTTTATTTTACTTTATTAAATATGGCTGTATTGCTTTGTACTTCTATAGGCTTTGTCATGTTGACCTATTGTCCCATTTTAGTTTTTTCATACCTTGGGACCCATTACATAATGCATGTCTTTTAAACTTTTTTAAAATGTATTTTAATGCTTGCAATAAATCATTGATTAACTTGCTAAATATGTGAATCATATATCAAGCACATTAAATATGTTTTTAAGGGGTTTGATGCTGTTCTTTGCTTTTATAAAAAAATGTTTCAAAGATGCATTGTTTTATAGAAGCAATTGCACTGCCTTGTATAGTCCTATTTTTTGCCCTTATGCTCACTTGGCAACGCAGACAATGCAGCATGTAGACAGGGTGTCTACTTTACATGCTGCATTCTGTGTGCTCTATAGTTTTATTCCCCATTGTATCCAACTGTGACAAATTACTTTCGTAAGTTTTACTGATTCATGTGATTTCGTACTACTCCATTAGTCTTTCCAAATCATATGTACATATATTTACAGCTTAAAAAGTGTTATGTTTAACACACTGCCTGGCCAAAAAATAAGTCGCCACCTGGATTCAACTTAGCAAATAGGTTACGAGCCTCCTATTTGATAATTACTGCATGGGCGATTATCTTTCAGCTGGCAACAAGTTATTTAACCCCAACTGGTGCAATGACTTGCTTCTCATTTCCATCAACCATGTCGAAAGACACATCCCGTGGTCGTGGAAAAGATGTTAGTCTGTTTGAGAAGGGTCAAATCATTGGCATGCATCAAACAGAGAAAACATCTAAAGAGATTGCAGAAACTACTAAAATTGGTTAAGAACTGTCCATTGCATTATTAAAAACTGGAAGGATAGTGGGGACCCATCATCTTCAAGGAAGATGGACAGCCGGAAAAAAATCCTGAATGATCGGCAATCACTTAAACATGTGGTGAGATCAAATCGAAGAAAAACAACAGTAGAACTCAGGGCTGTACAGGGCTGTACAATGCCACAGCGAATGCATGCCGTAATCAAAGCTAAAGGCGGTCCAACAAAGTATTAGAGTGAGTGACCTTTTTTTTTGGTGGCGACTTTTTTTTTGGCCAGGCAGTGTATATACATACATACATACCGTGTATATATATAATGACAATTAGACATGTATATTTTTTAATTTTTTTCCCCATACATATGGAAAAAAAATTCAGGTCTTGATTCACTTAATCTTCTCAATGTTTTGGCATTAATGTTTAAAACAAGTTATCTTTGAGATTTCAAATATTATAGTCAATCTCATTGAATTGTTTTAGTTGAGACTGGCAAACTGTGGTATTCATGGCCCTGCTTTGAAAAGAGATCTGTCTGAAATTCTGGTAGTGACAAAACCTAGTATTTTTCCTGGAATGAATATCTTTATAAAGTAAGAAAAATAATTTAGACATAACTTTAAAATGTATCATTAATTTACTTAACCTTGCTGGAAGTGAATCTTTTTTTTTTTCCAATTTTCTCATTTATAAGGTTCTTCTTTCTTCCGATCATCCAGAAGGCCTTTTACATTTTTTTTTGCCTTTGCTTTCAGCTTCTCCTGCTCCTACACTAGGCAGAGAACGATCAGAGCAGAATGAGGGCTATAAATGTTTCCAATGATGTTTGTATCTCACCGCTCATAGTGATTTGGTGTATGGCAATAAAGATGTGCAAGCATATATTCTTAATTTTATATCAGCAAATGTCATTGTAAATGTAAGAAAGAGAAAACAGCATGTCTGTTTACATTTTTAATACCCAGTTTACATGTTTAAAGTGAGAAAAGAGTTAGAGAACAAGAGGAAGACATTTTTAATATGACCAAAGCAATTACGCTTTCAACTATATAGGACATGTTAATTAGATACATAACTGAGCTACGGTTCAATTTTGGGGAAAAGCTGAGAAAGCTCCACTACTATTCTCTCTTCATCTTTCCTTTAAGGCTTTTTTTTTTTTTTACAACATGTTAGAAATATAATACTTAAAGGTATAGTGGAGGATATTTTTGAGTTTTTGAAAAGACCCTCCCTCTCCACTTTAAAAAAAGGCACATGTACCATCCTGTACCCACCCCTGAGAGGGAACGCTTATTAAATGCGTGCCATAGCATGTACAAGCTAAGTTCTCCTCTTCTATGCTCTGTTTAATAGTTGCTGTTTGCATCACTCATACAAGCTTATTTTACAAAGGAACATTTGCATTATTCAACTATGTCAGACTCACCACCGAGCACGTGGGATCGCCTTACGTAAATATATCACCAGAATGATTGACAACTAGGAGGACCACTGATTTTGATGATCCACATTGAAAAAGAGCATCCTTCCCTATGCCTTTAAAGGTATAATTTATATTATACCTAAACCAACATGAAATGTTTAAGTAAACCATAGTGTTTTATAATATCAAATCAAATGAATATCCAAACCATCCTCTTTAACTTCTATGGTTTGAACCGTTCAGATTGGATCACTTTGGAAATACAAAATTCTCCTTTCCTATTGCAACTTGTGTACTTATGTGTATTTATGTGTTGCAGGGACACCTTCGAAGTCTTAAGGAAAAAAATCTAGGCAGAACTAATGAGAGAAAAAACAATCACTTTCACTCATGGTTCACTCATGGATTTATGTGCAGCTTGTGGTGGTGTTGGTCCTTTTCTCCTTCTCTCTTCAGGGTGCGGCAGGGAGTTGTTCCTGGACAAGAGGTCTGACTATCCTCTTGGGATTTCCTGCTTAAAGCTATTTCTATGAAACTAGCTCCTAGATTTACTGGACTGTTCACATGGACTTGATCACATTGTCAACCCCACAGCAGTCTGCCTGAAGCTACCTGCACACCGTGTTCATCCTACGTTCCACGTGTCTATGATCAAGCCTTTTACCTCAAGTCCTTTGTGCTCTCCAACCAGGCCCCCTCCATCCATCCGGGATGTAGATAGCCACCCCGCCTTCACAGTTAGGCATATTGTGGCCTCTAGACGTTGTGGTTTCCAGTACTTGGTAGACTTGGCTAGGTATGGTCCTGAGGAAGCTTCTTGATTCCTCGGCTTTCGAGGCTTCTTCTTCCTGACGGCTGCCAGGGGTTGTCTGTTAAGGAGGGGGTGCTGTCATACTCATGGTTTTATGTGCAGGTTGTGCTGGCATGGGTTCTCTCTTCCTCTCTGCATAGTGTGACAGCACACAGGTGTTGCTCATCTCCACTGATCAAGGGATCTTCATAAGGAGCTGAAACCAGGAGTAGGGCGTCAGTTCTTTATCACTTCGGGCATGATACCAGACCAAGTCCTAACAGAATTTCTCAGTTATTTTCAGAACATAAACCTTACTCCATGTATCTGTCTCTCTCCTATTATTGTAGATCCCGACCCAAGTATCTTCAAGCCGGAGGAACTAGGACCTCCTCCATTGCCTGGCCTCTTCTGCTCTTCTGCCTGAGCCATACCTGCCTGTCCACCCTCCAACATTGTTCAAACAAAGCGAGGAATGACCTGCTCGGAACCAACAGCAGCTGCTCCTTTATAAAACCCTGAGTGTCACCTTCCCTGGAGTAAACCTAACAACAACCTTTTGAGTCAGCAGCTCCTCTACTCTTAGTGATCGGCTTCTGTTGTGTTTTCACCAGAATCCTTGTTTTCTTTGCAGTACAGAGGTGATCCAGTCCGCTGGCTTCCATTTTCCAGTCCATTCACACTCTTACCAAATAAACTCTTTTTTGATTCCTCATCTTGGTGGTTGCCCTAATTTTAGAGTCAATAAACTTGATCTCCAACAAAATATAGCTAGGATGACATACAGTAATGTCCTAGTTTCTCAAGAACCAAAATTATTGATTAGTCTTACTTGGTTAATTCCACCTGATTTTCTTCCAAATCTGCACACCTTAATTCAGCCATAAACTGAACAAAATACAAGGAGAGCTGCTTGCTCATCGTTTAAACCCATTTGCTCTTTTGTTAGGGGAAACCCATCCAAAATTGCAACAAAGCAGTGTTTTCTCCAACAAAATGTATAAAGGCGTCATTGTAAACATATATGCATAGCCCCTCCCTATCCTGAAAATTAGCAGAAGGCAAATGTGTACATAACGCTGCTACCTCCAGTAAGCACCTACCTGAACTGCGCAGTGCCCGCACGGTAATGTAAACAAGCTCCCACACAATGGGTGACACAATGATATGATTCAAAGTTGACACAATGTCTCTCTTAAAGCAGCCAGTCGGTACAGGACAGAAACTTTTATCCTCGATATTTTAGTCAGTTCAGCCTTCCGAATTTGGGTGATACACTATATAGGTAACTTTAAAAAGCTTAAAAATCTAAATAATGTTAAGTTCCA